CTCAATAAACTTAAAACTTACATTGGGTTGAGGTGGATCAGGTCAGCCTATCATGGACACTCTCCTAAATTGAAAAATGAACTTCTTCTTTTGGGTAATTTATTGGTTTGTTTAAGTTGCAATTGATCGTTGTTTTATATTCATTATAAGATAAGAGCATTTTCTTCATTCTAGAAGGATCAACATTTAAAAAATTAAGGTATTTTATTAAGGACCTAATCTGTCTAGTGCCTGTGCACTTTTCTGATATGGCAAGATCTAGGGTACTGGAGTTGGAGAAATGCTATCGAGAAGACAACATCAGATGTGTGAATCTGTGTAGATGGGAGCTAGGAGTTGCATTTACTGGTTTTAGTTATTCGCTGTGAAGATTTTTCACCAAGGGAAGATTTTTATCTATCATTACATGTTTCAAGGATTTACTCCTTTATCTTTTTCTTTTCAGAGGTGAGGGATGAGATGTGAAATAGAAAAGGAGGAGAAAATTTGTGCACTTTAATCTTTTTCCTTCTCGTGCTCATTGATAAAGAAAAGAGGAAGTGAAATATGGATATGGAACATCTAGGACTGCGAAGTACTGGAGGTGCGGAAGCAGTACTTGGCCTCCAACCCAACTCAACAATGTCTATTGCTTATCACTCCCTTTTTGGTTCCCACAATGACATAACACTCCTCGAAATTGACGAAACTCTCATCCCCGATATCCTTCAGCAAAGGTATGTAGTTTTATTTTATTCTTGTTGAGGCTATTTTATTTGATCCTATAGTTTATCCATACGTCATTTTCATCTTATTCTTATTTATTCAATAGAGTAACTATAAGAGGACAGCCTGATGAAGATGCAGTTCTTTGTACTCAGTCAAAAACCTATGCCCTTAAATATGTGGGGACATCCAACTCTGTATTACTTATACCTCCTTCAGATAAAGCTGTGAAAGAATGTAATGATATAACCATACCGGTTGCAGCGGTTTTCAAAGTTGCACCAGGCATTATGGAAGTTGTTGAGGTTGCACCTAAATTAGATAAACTTAAATTTCTCCTCTCCCAAAATCCTTATAGTTTTGACGAGGCTTCAGACATGGATATCTCTCATGAGAGAATGAATACAGGCTTATACAGCTGGGACAATCTTGTCGACGAGGTACAAGCTAGCAATGAGGAACTAAGGTCTGGACTACAAGCCCTTTCAGCCGTTGAAATTTATGGATACTGGCGAGTTTTGGATGACAAATACATGGATATGATTCTGAACATTCTTCTGCATGACGTAATATTGAATGATTGGTCCTTTAATGCACTTAATGAAGATGAAGTTCTGCGTGCATTAGAAACAGATGGGTTTCCTTGCAATATTGCAATGCATTGCCTGAAAGTCTATGGTAATAAGGTGGAAGAGCATGTTGGTGGAAGTTGTGTGTGGCAGTTGGAGGAGAGGCGCATTTGTGTGCACTTTGCAAGAGAAATCTTGAAAAGCGGTAAGATGAAAGTGGAAAAATTTATGGCAGAATGGATACGAAAGGTTCCTGATGGTATGCATGCAAGTTTTGACATGTTGGAAGGGGAAGTTCTAACAGAAAAGCTAGGGATAGAGACTCTAATTTACCATTTCAGCGTATCCTCACTCCCGTCAACCCCTGCTGAGCGTTTTAAAATACTATTCCGGGAGAGGCAAAAGTGGGAATGGAAGGATCTACAGCCATATGTCAGGTCTGTTTCTGTTAATTTGAACAAGTTCTGTATTACCTGCATAATCTGTCGGGTTTTTCTATTTGTACACCAGGGTTGACACCTTGTGAGGGGGGATATATGTAGCAAGGCCCTAATCTGTCTAGTATTTGTACATACTTTATATAAGCAGCTTCTCCTAATTGTTGTTGATGATGTCATTTTATAGGGATCTAAGAGTGCCAGGACTTTCTGCAGAAGCTATACTTCTCAAATATACTCGGAGAACTCAGCCAACTGTCGACGCCGAACCTATTTTCAGTGCAAGATAGTCGTCTCGTATATTACGTCTATTTTGTAAGTTAATATTTGTTCGTGTGGAAATCAGAAGCTTTTGTGTTAAAATATATTATTCTACATGAAGTTAAGAACTGTTGGCTTATATTTCATTTTATTTGGTCGATCGAAGTAATAAACAAGTTTGTAATAAAATGCAGTTGTTACAAGAAAAGAAAGGAATCAACAAATATACGCTTGTGACGCTCCTAATACATTGATATGATAAGTGATATAATTTGTCAAATAATTTTTTCGTTCAACGAAGATAGACTTGTTTTTGTTTTCATATATGTCAAGAAAATGTAATTAACATAATTGAAAATATTAATTTTTGCTTAATAAATCCCTATATTAAATAAGGGTCTAAATAAAAATAATTGATATTTGTTGACAACAATATATATTAATAAGAGTATATTAAAAAATTAATTATACTCTTAACAAAAAAAGTGGCTTATGATTATGGATATATGAAAAGGGAAAGTAAATCTATCTTTATGGGATGGATGTGGTATTTTTCCTTTAAAATTGTGCGAATGAGTCTTGTGAAGTGGAGTTTGAACTTGGAAGAATGTAACAACTACTCCAAATTATATTCTTTATGCCTTTAGAGAAAGAAAATAAACACAAAGAAAAAGCTTAGAGAACAAAGAACTTGTAAACATTCAATGGATTGTTTAATTGTTTTTGAACGGAAATGGACAATCAATGATATCTACTAAAACAATGAAGAAAATATGTTAATAGATGGAAAAAGAAGTTAACAACGAAGAAAGTGACAGCAAGAGAGCTCCCTATTAATGGTAGCTATGCATTGCAACAGTCAAATTCACGTGTAGAAATATTCAATCAACGACTCTCATAAATTTTCAACCCCATCCTCAATTGCAAATCATTCCACTTGGTAAGCATACACTGTCGATGACTCTTTAACTTCAAATTCTATTTTTATCTACATGCCATCGAGCGAGCAAGAGTATTTTCAAGGGAAAATTGTAGCAACGATTCCGAACATTTTCATTTTTTGCGGACTTTACCCTAACCTTTATTTTATGCCAACGAAGGTCCATAACCTTTCATAAATACACACTTGAGGTCCATTTGGGTGGAAACCGAGCAAAACACTATCAGTTGATCGGAAAAATTCCTTAAACTGTTTGCTACCGTAACGATTTTATTGGATGTTGATACCTTTTTGGACGATTTTATTGAATATTGATTCTTTAATTTTTTGGGTCAACTAACTGTGTTTTGAACAGTTTCCTTCTAAATGGACCTCAAGTACATATTTATGAAAGGTTAGGAACTTCCGTTGACACAAAATAAAAGTTAGGGTAAAGTTTGTAAAAAATGAAAAGGTTAGGGACCACTGCTGCAACTTTCCCTATTTTCAATAAACACTTTCTAAAAATTTTGAGGTAATTATTTAAGAATTTTCAATATTGTTATCCATGTTTAATCTTTCAAATGTCCTAGTGTTTTTATATCAATGCATAATTCAATATGAAACCACCTACTTGCAATTCAATGATTTAATAGCAACTTTTAGCCTAATTAAAATTCCGAAAAATTAATTATGACGTATATGAATAATAACTTGAATACCGCTCTTAAATTGAATCAAATGGGCTGGCATAAAAGAAAAAAATCAAGAATCGGCTTAAAACAGTAAAAAAAATAAAAATAAATAAAAAATGTAAAAAATAAATAAAAATGAGTAAACTTTTAAAACAAAGTTAAACAGATGATTTCACACAAAGAATCGGCTGGTTTACACTAAGCCCTAGTTTAGCTCTTGTTATTCCACATTATAACGTGAGAAATAGTAATTTTTTGTAGATTGTGTAGTTAAAAAGGAATTTATTTTTTTAAATTTATTTTTATTATTATTTTACTGAAAAATGTAAAGTTGATAAGACGAAAGAGAAAAATAAATTATAATTTAATGGGAAATAATAGAGGCCAAAATGGAGATAACCGATTGGTTCACCTCAATTCACCACAATTTTTTTATGAGTAATGTTATTCAGAGTGAAAACTGTTAGTAGTCGCCCTATGTGGCATACATTTGATAATTTGGTATTTGATACATAGATATGGTAATTATTTTTTGAATTATATATCAAATGAAAAATCGTCAATTGTACGCTACATAAGACGACTGTCGGTAGTTTTCACTGCAAATAGTATTATTCTTTTTTTTATTACTGCAACTTACTACGTTTTTTTAGGGTCAACGTTTGGATGAATTTACTAACATTATTATTTACTATTTACCCCCAATAACCCTACTAGTCATCCAAATTATAAGTTGGTTCATTCTGGTCACTAATTCTTTTTCCCTTTAAAGTTAGTATTTGAACTTTCCGTTTCATATCAAATTAAGCAATTCATCTTATTGAATCAACAAAAATGTTGTTATGGCTAAGAAAAATAATGGTTCCTTATGAAAAATTCATTAAGCACATGATGCAGACCGAGACTCTAATGAACCCGACTGTGACTTCTTGTTCTTGGTTGGGCTCGTGTTTTATTTATTTAATGAACATACATTTCTGTTTTTAATGTTGCGAGGTTATGTTGAGTTCTTTTGGCAGTATAGGAGGGTTCGTCCTGGGTTTAAAAGTTATATTATTTTATGTTTTTGAACCTAGAGAATTGAATTGCAGTCAATTTGTTCTGGAACCATACGTTTATGTTTATATTATAATATTATTTTAATTGAGAATCTATGCAAAAGAACATATTATTGAAAAAAATTGTGCTTCCAAAGTGCATTTTTATAGAGAAAGCATATCTCACAATTTTACGAAGTTAGATTATGGCATGATCGGTTTCTTATTACTACGTTGACGAAAGTGCCTAAATTATAATGAAAACAAAAGTTCAATGACTCTCAAAAAATTTTCTTGCTTCACGTGCTTCACGTGCACCGCACGTGATAACCGCCAATGTACGCGTATTTTAAAATATAAAATAAGATATGCGAATCACTTGTTATTATCCGATCAACAAAAACTCAAAAACCCCACAATTCTATCAATAATTCAACAGGTACCTTTTCTTTTCTTTTCTTTTCTTTCCCCATGGATATAATTTTCTGGTTTCCTCAATAAGAAGCTTGCTCAAATTCATTAATTTTTGCTGTAAATATAAATTCTGGTTGACTTGTCTTTTTCTTGGTGGAACAATAAGATCTGTTTCAGCACTTGAATTTTAATTGCGTTTATTACAGAGATTACGAGATTTGGTATTTTTTTTTTTTTTGTTATCATTCTTTTGACTTTCTAATTTCAAGTTTCGGTTAATAATTTTTTAGATATCTTGTTCTATAAGTTGATTGTTATTGGGTTTTATGAAATGAGTTGTCTATCTGCTTGCAAGCAATTAGAAGCTCAGAGCTGGGATTCGGTGCTGAGTTATATTGCTTATGTGCACTCGCCGTTGATATTTGAATTTTGAATAAAGTCACTAATTGGATGATCACATCTTTGCTTTGTTGAGGGTTTCAAAACCTGGGTGTTGTAAAATTTTGAGTGAACTTGTTGGATTTATTAATCAATTTTGATTTCTGGTTGTTGGAGGCATCTTTGGCAAAGTTTAAATAATAATTTAAGCTTGACAAACATATTTTTTATCCACATGTTCCGTAGGATCATTGGCTAACTACTCACTTATTATCCAAACATTCCATAGGAATCATATTTTTTAAGCACTTAAAATCAATACCAAACAATCACAGACAAAGATGTATGTTTTACTTTTATGATACTCAGCTGTAGTACTACAGCGCTACATGAGCAAATTTGCGCTTGGTGGTGGTATGTCCTGAATAAATTGTTAAATCCCTTGGTTGTAGCACTAAGTAACTTAGTTGTTTAAATCTTGTAATTTGTATTGTTTTCATAGTTCTGGGGGATTTACTATTTTCGCATTGATTTCAACTCCTAAAGTTAAAGTGGTCGTAATTATAGGATGCCTGGAGAACCTCGGAGTTGAGGTATTAATGAGACCAGTAAACAGTTCAAATTACCGTCATAAACCGACAAATTGCATTATTTGATAACACAACCATGTTAACTCAAAGATGAAACTGCAATGTAGGAAATCATAAATATTACTGAATGTAGTATTACGATGCTAGCATTAAAAATAAAATAAAATAAAATCGATATAAATAGGGAATTAAATGTAAACAAGGTTAGATATATTTAGCATAAGTTGATTTTCGTACAACTCAATAACCTCTAGACTTTATATTCTTGGATGAAAAAGACAGAGAAAAAGATAAAGATATCGAACAATACACTTCAGACGATACTCATTGAGCAAGAGGTGAGTGTATTTGATAGTTTTAGAGAAAGATCCCAACTAATATTTGTTATCAAGTTTCTTAAACTGCAGAGTGAAGAATAGAGAAAGATAGAATTCCAGCTACAAATAATTCTTTGTTGTCAAGGTTAAAAGACATTAGAAAGAATAAGAATGAAGATACTATAGTTAGAGAAGATTGATGAGATTAAGGGAGAAAACGAATAACGAGCCTCAGCCATAACAAAGTAGAGGCTGGAAGGAGTGTGAGGAGGGAAGATAATAGTTGTAGAATTATTAGATTGAGTAGCATTAGTCACTTTGGTTTAGACCAAAAACAAGTCCCTAAATAAGATTGGAGTTGAAGTATTCATTGAGGAGTCTTAAGACACTAAGCCTGAATTTTAAACTTTTCATGCCAGCATCCTATATGACCAAAACAAAGAGTGCTGAATAACAAATTAACCCTTAAAACCCTGAAACGTTTTTAGTGTAACTATATAAAATACACAACAGAACTAGAAATAATAATATGAAAAATACGAGCAATACATTGAATTTCGAACATCAAACACATCAATTCCTCCAGTGTTCAAACTCAAGTTCGTTAAGGAAACCTTAGAGGTATTTTGGAACAAATATTCATGGTGCCTGCAGACTGCCTTGTAATTTCATCTACAGGATTTACAGTCTAATTGACTGAGCTTACCACAGGAGTTTATATCTTTGCTGTATGCCTTTGTTAATATTGTATAATGTCAATCCTCAGCATATTCACATTATTCCTCAGGAGGTCTATTTCTATTTGCCAATGTAATGACAACAGGTTCTGATAGGCTGGTTTCATTGGAAAACTGGGAACTGGTCCTTTTATACACTAAAAACTGTTTGGTTAGAAACAGTTATCCAACCTGGCCAACCGCCAGTTAAACTGTGGCCCAGTCAAGGTTTTACCAGTTCAGACATTTGGATTTTATTTCTTATTTTCTAAATAAAAAATAAACAATAAGGCTCAAAAAACTCACCAATCTGGAGGGATAGCTCAGTGGTCAGGCCTTGATCTTGCTCTTCAATGGTCACCAGTTCGAGTCCCTTTAGGGTCACTAGAATAATGAGAAAAAAAGGTTAGTGAATAGAAACACAGATATCAAAGTCACACCTTGGAAATATTGTTTTAATCGTTTTTAAAATTGATGATTTGACTTTTTATTTTTATTATTATTATTATTATTATTATTATTATTATTATTATTTGACAATTATAATTGTTATGAAAGTCATTGGCTTCATAAAACTTCACTATTAAATTATTGATACTCTCTACGTCTCACAAAAATAGGCTTGTTTCTATTTTACATAAATCAAGAAAATGTAATTAATATAGTTGGAAATATAAGTTTTTCTTATATTTTTTCTAACATACTCCTACATTAAATAATGGTCTGAATAGGACTTGTTCATATTTGTTGATAACGATATACATTAAATAGGGGTATATTAGAAAACTAAGTAATTAACTATAATCTCAATAAGGAAAGTAGCTTATAATTTGGGAAAGATGAAAAATGAAAGTAAACCTATCTTTATGGGACAGAGGAATCTTTATAAATTTATGTATTATATCCATTTGAAGAATTGCTATTAGGTTGGTTTTCAAAACTGATAGTTGCACAACTTCTTTGATTTTAAAACGTTATAACAATGACTTGCATTGATATCATTCAAAGGAAGTTTAAATGTAAAATATCTTGGTAATTTTCATTGACCAGCAGAATTGGATGATAAATAATATCCAATTGCAAATTATCACCGGGTTATATTTTGATACTAAGTTCTCTTGTCTTCGTTGTCCTTGTATAACCTAACTTTTTTATGATCTCATCTTCATCATCCTTATCAAAATTTGCTAAGTGCCTAAAAGCAATTAGGCTTCAGTGAGATCTACTTAGCCCCCATTTGAGCCATATTATTGTAAAAATGTAAATGAAAAATATAATCGTTATGGGCTCCACACAAGAGATAAAAAGTCAAATATCGTGGCTTGATGTGACGGATAACGGTTATATTTTTTATTTTGATGAGGAAATAATGGGGGTCAAACAAGGCCTTACTTTGACTATATGTGACTTTGTTTAAACTTTAGCTCAAATCTAGATCTTATCCTCTCACCTGTGATGTTACTACTGTTCAATGTGACTCGGTCTTCTTGGAATCTTAAATTCTGTTTACAAAAGTTTCCAGTTTTTTGTGTTGTCTGTTACCGGGGAACGTTAAAAAATGTTTACATCAGCCTACTTGAAATTGCTTTTGTGCTGGTAAGTTCTTCCAAGCCCTTCAGAATAAAGAATTCCCTACTTACACTGGTTGACATTTAATGTCCACTTCATCTCTCGGTACAAAAAAACTCTCAATCTATACTTTGCTTACCAGTTGAATCTGCCTGCTTTACATGGTCTCTAGCAGGAGTTGAGCAACTAATTGCTAAGATTTGAATGAAAGTGAGTTACGGGGTTGGATTAAAATTGATCTGTTCAATATTAATGTAATTAGAAGCATGTGTCTTAGTTGCTTGTATATTGGGTTAATGTTGGAAAATTTACTTAAGAGGTTGTAAAAGAGTTATGTGGATCAATCAAAATGGTAGTTAGACCAAAAACCATTATGACGCCTCTTCTTAACTACAATCAGGGTAAAAAAGATTAGTAATTATTGGACTGATATTGATATTAGAGAAGCTTGCATCAGAGCTATGAACTCAGATTGCCCATCATGCTGTCATGAATTCAACCACCATGTTGCTTTTGGAAACACTGCATTACTCTGTACAAATTAACTATACGTAGATCAACTTTTGATGTTGAGTACTTTTGATTAATGTCAAATTTGTATTCAAGTTGGGCTCAAATGACTTGGTATTGGATTGTGTATGCTAGGATTTTCCTACCCTATATTTTACAATCATCTTTTCTAGTTGAACAATCACCATCATATTTTGCAGGACAAATAACGTCATTTTATGGGCAAGAAAGAGCCCTGCAAGGAGGTTCCAGAGCCCTGCAAGGAGGTTCCCGAGGATGTGACTCGTGAGTCATTGATTGCCATCTCTTACCGACTACCGGAGACCGAGTTCATTACTGAAGAGTCACCTAAAAAATCGGACAATGAGAAAGTTGTCCAACCTCTCAAACATGACGGAGACGAGAAATATAGGTCTAAGCTGATGTCGATATCCAACTCACAATCACCCAACATGAAAATCCTACCTGTTTTGCCTGGGCAAATTGACGGTTAGCTTAGGTTGCAGGGTTTTATGTGATGAATACAATGTAAAACTTATGAATTGTTATGATTTGAAAGAAACTAGTTGTAGTGGCCTCAGTTGCTAATATCGTTCGAGTTACGTTGTGAATGCACTTATTGTAATGAATTATTAATGGTACAATACACTTAAGCATTCACATATTGTGATACTTGTAATTATAGTGGCTTACTTGTAAATTCCTGTGGATTGTGGATATTTGTTTTGCAAGTTTTTTCTTCTTTTCTTCCCTCTAGTACCATACTATTCTTGCCCGTTTAAATGTGTTTGGAATAGGATTCCAGTAGATTATGGAAATTGAAATTTGGCTCCCTTTTTATTTTTATTTATTTAAATTTTTTTTTTTTTGGATGTAAATTTTTTTGAATAGATTTTGTGTAGAACGATTTATTTATTTATTTAAGCATGTGTGTTTAAAAAGTAGGAAAAATTTATTGGTTCGAGTGCAAAATTATTTCATTGGGAGAATGTGTGGTTGAAAATGAGTTTTGATGATATCGTACAAATTCTTGTTTGTCTTAGTACTAGATATTGAATTTGTTCATCAATTTCTACTGGCTCTCGTTTTGTTGTTGAATGTCTGTTCTAATACTGTTTTCAATTGTATTTATTCATCAAATTTTAGTTTTTACAGTTCTGTTCTTTTTAGATAATCTAAATTGGCCGAAAGCAGGTAACTAGTGTCGAATAGCCATTATAAGCCTCTGTTCGAAGTTTTTCTTCTTCTTCTTCTTCAGACTTTTACCCCGTTTGTCCCATTAAATCTCATCAAATTAAATTTAAATTTTCTCTCTTCTATTTCTAACTACACAATCTTCAATTGAATAATATTACACGTAAATAAAAAAACTTTTCATTCCTTTACAATCATTCATTTTTCAAAAAAAAAAAAAATACTATTCCCCTCCTTATAATAAAATATAATGGGGGTCAAATGGGGGCTATATGTTTACTTACAAAACAAGCCAAAAGCATTAGTACCATACCTATTAAGGATCGAATTGAGTGGCATGTTTGGCTAAGATTAATAAGTTGGTTCGTCCTTCTTTCTTTTTAGACGTTAATTTTAGGCACGACCAAGAATTTCCAATCAAGAACGTTTTGAGTAAAAATCTACAAAGCCAAAGCTATATTGAAATAATGCAAGTGTTCATTTGCTTTTCCTTATCTGAACCTCAATATTTTCCCATGAGGATGCTTTAGTCATAAATCTAGTTAATCATTCATATGAATTCATTCCTTGTGTCCACGAGTTCAAAACTGCCTTCATTATATGAAATTATGGCCTGCTTTGACTTTGAAAAAAATCAAATTTTTAGTATATTTTAATAAAGTTGATGAAACGTGTGGTTAAACAGTTGATAAAAGTTATTGATCCAATGAAATATGTGGTAGGAAATAAGTTTTGGGGGGGTGGGGGATAAATTTTAAGTTGGAGCCAAAAATGGGCTAAGAAGTGCGAGATTTTATTATTTATTTATTTATTTATTTTTATGTTTTGATTGATTTAGTATGCTTTGCTGCATTACTTAATTGCTCGACCATCAATTAGGTAGGTAGTCACTTGTTATAGTTCTAGGAGGTTAATAATAAATTAGAACTTTGCAAGATTAACATCGAGCAATAGATGCTAGGAATAACATGTATGATGTTTGCAACCATCAAGATAATCGTGTAACTGAATGCATTACTTTGCATATGAATTAGGAATAGGAATACCGAATATGATTGGATTATGTTTATGATAGATTTAACTTACACCAGGAGAGAGAGTTAAATAAAATTGGATTTTGATTGTCAAAAATATACAAATCACACTAAATTACATAAGTCGAAAATTGAAAATAGGACAATGGATTCAGAATTTCAACATATAATTCTCATAATTAAATAAAAATGCCCTTAGGTAGTAGATAATTTAGATATAATCAAAAGAAATCTTTTTTGTTACGTTCCATTCGAATTTCATAATGGACTAATAGAATTCAATCTAAACTTTATTTTGCGTTGGATGATACATTTTCTCACTATATTATTACTTATCAACGTCCCATGTGCTTGTAAATTTTGTAAAATCAAATTTTTGGCGTCGTTGTTGAGCAATAAAGCTTCTAAATATAATTTATTAGTTTATATTTGGATTCAAATTTTCTTTGTTGTTTTAGGTTATTCATCACATACCCGATCTCTTATATTTGTGTTCTTTTCAGGAACCTAAGAGCAGTTTATGCAAGATTCTAATGAAATCGAACTCCTACTGTTGGATCCCAATAATGAAAGAACACTAAGGAAAAGAAGTACAAATTAGAGATTAGAGAGGTAAACGGAAACAAGAATGGATGAAAATTAAAATCAGAATCAGGTTCAAAATTAGTTACCAACGGCTCAGTTGATACAACTAGTTCAATCGAGAGGAGTCGCCAACAATGGAGATATGTTGGTAGGGGATTAAATGATCCCCATTCCAACTCCTGTCCAATCCAGCTTAATATATCTTCTATTTGGACGAGCAAACTTTCATCTCAGACCAAATTTTATAATTCTTTTTCAAAACCATCAAGATATCAGGTTCTTTTAGAACGTACAGAATCCACAGGATCATATCTGAGTTTCTCTACCATTATGTGAAGTTATCAATCATGAAGGAATGTCTAAAGTTGCCTTTCGAATGCGTCTATTCTCTCACACCTTGAAAGATAGCACAAAGATTGACTGCATTCTTTACCTAACGAGAGCGTTGTTTCTTGGATTGATGTAGTACAGGAAAATTTATACTAAGATTCTTTCCACTTGCTCAAGACTATCATATCAAAAACTAGATACACACTTTTAAACAGAGGGACATCGAGAGTTATCCGGAAGCATGGAAATGTTCAAGAAGCTAAAAAATGTCCCAACCTAGACATTTCTAAACATGCCTAGGTCTACATCTTCTATTCATGCTTGCTTCTTGAATACAGTAATATAGCCAATACTTCAAAAAGTGGATTAGTGATGAAGATGCACATAGATGATGTTTGTGACATTTATGAAAGAAGACAGAAAATCAGTCCATATGGTCATCTGAATCGAGTGAAACAACAAGACTTCACAATATTTATGGAGTATTAGATTTGGATACTCAGATGGAGGCATTGACGAAGAAGATGGACACCCTTACTTAGACAATACATATAGTGTACCAATTACATCGGTCTATAAAGGTTACGAGGCAAATTGTACAATTGCCAATTGTCCCATAGCTTCCACTTATACATATCAATCTAAAGAGTACAATACACATAGAACTTTCAGAGGCAACATAACAATCCTTATTCCAACATGTATAATCCAAGTTGGAGAAATCATCCAAAATTTTTCATGGGCAAATAATTAGCGTCAAAGAAATCAAAGTCAAGAAAACTATCAAGATTTCAATGACAAAAGAAGAAGATGCCATCATTGGAAGATTCGTTTGTTCAATACATTACAAAGACTGACACTGCATTATAAAATTATTAGGCTTTTGTTCAAAGTTTGAAAAATCTAGTGGAGTAGATAGCAGCTACATTGTCCAACAATACACAGGGTATCGAAAAGAATCTACGAGAACAGATGTCACCTTTCAGAGATATAGGGAATGATATAGTTGACATGCCATCAATAAGTTTGCTACCCCTGTACAAGTTTATGTGCCGCTAGTCATATTCACATGAGGCTTCAAAAGCAGCAAAAGAAGGAACACGGTCAGGCTATCACCACAAGAAGTGAAGTTCAGCTGGTAAAGATCAACATAAGGAGAAAAGAGATTGAGGATAAATAGGTACCTACCACGGGCAAGGAATAAGTGATTTAATTTGAAGAATCAACAAAAGTTAATTAGGAAGAACATTCAGACAGTCCACAGGTTACTACATCCGTTCTTGTCAAAAACACAAATACCTCTTGTCCCCTTTTCCAAAGAATGTAGAAAAATAAGCTACACAAATTAGTTCGCAAAATTCTTGGATATCCTTGAGAAACTTCATATAAACATTCCTTTCATTGACACAATCCTACAAATTCCAAATTATGCAAAGTTTTTTAAAGAGATGTTGACTAAGAAGAAAAAGCTGCCACAAGATGAAACAATGACCTTTATAGAAGAGTGCAGTGCAATCCTACAACACAAGCTCGCCCTAAGCTAAAAGATCTAGAGAGTATCACTTTACCTTGCTCTATAGGAAATTCACATAATATCCATACTTTAATTGATTTTGGAGTAAGTACTAATCTAATGTCACTGTCGATCTACATAAAATTAGATTTGTCGGATCAAAGGAAATGTTAATGACTCTATAGTTAGCTGACACATCAATCAAACACTTCTAAGGAAAGGTTGAAAATGTGCTCATCAAAGTTGTAGATTTCATCTTTCTAGCTAATTTCATTATCCTCGATATAGGAGAAAATCAAGATAAGTCAATTATCTTGGGAAGACCATTCTTAGCTATTGGACATGCCTTAATAAATTTTGAAAATGGTAAGCCGATATTGAAGGTTGAAGAAAACTAACAAAATTTCAGCATTTATACTCCACCCAATCAACTTATCTACCTCGAGGAGTACAAAAGAATTGACCATGAAGAGAAAGATTATTATGCAAGTCATCAATATAAAAAAAGGATTTGGAGGACTAATTGGAGCAATCAAAAACCAATATGTGAACTTTAAAGGTCAAAGGGCCAAAAATGAATCAAGAAATATCTACAAGTACAACCATTACAAGGTTGAAAATTCCCTTTAAAGTTACCATAAATAGCCAAAATAACAGTGTCAAATTAATGACTTCAAACAACTATTTATTGAGAGGTAACATAATTATCTTTTCTTTTATTTATTATGTTTTCCAGATAATAGGTTAGATAATTTATTTGTTTTTGTGTGCTAATAGATAGTTTAGATATCTTCACCCCTGTATATTTATGACGAAAAAAGGTTAATGTTTGCACTCGCAACCCAGGCCGTTACTTGAAACGCATTACCTGTATCCAGTCGCAACCTAAGGTCATACTAGGCAATATCGTCCCCTGTTCCATTTTCCCTTGGTCACTAGATTTTCTTGTTGGTTGTGATGTGTTTAAGCTCAATATATAATGCTATCACTAATGATTGAATTTTATTCATTTTATAGGGCATGATACCTAAACACACAAACCAACAATGGATAAAGAGAATGACATAGCAACTTCTACTATCTAGTTCTG